CCCTCCCCCTCCCCCTGGTGCCCCGACAGTCCAGGTCCTGCCAGCACATGCCTGGGAGACAAAGACACCAGGGCCCCCCGTTTTTTTCAGGGAAAACGGGTTTCGTGTGCAGAAGGCCAGGAGGAGAATGGGGAGCTCAGGGGCCGGGGACAGAGGCGGCTCTGCACCCCAGCACCTCCAATCCCAACCGACGTTGCACCTAAAAGCCTTCCCGGGCTGCGAAAGGACCCCCAGCGCCAGCGACTGTCTTTCTCTTTGAGCTCGTGGCTAAGGCGGAGGGAGGATGTGAGCTGAGGGGAGAGGCGAATGCTGCCTATGCTCGAGTCTCAGGCCCCCCCCAGCCCCCCAATAAAGGGGGGAGGTAAACACAGACAAACACAGAACACACAACCCTATTGTAGCAAAGGCGTCAGCAGGAATCCCGCGGGAAACCCCAATGAGTGTGTTTCCTATAAAAAGACTCCCCTCCAGCAGCCCAGGGCATCGTCACGGGGGGCGGGGGCAGCGGCGAGGGGTTTATGGGGATGCACACCCCACACCTCAGCCTCATGTGGGCTGCGCTGGGAGCTCACAGGCAGGGCCGGCTGCTTGGCCGCCACCCCACGCCCGGCCGGGCAGAGAGGGTGCAAATGGCAGGGATGCGGACAAAGAGAGGGCGGCCCCCGCTAGGGACGGGCGTGCCTGTGCCAGGGCGACTTTCAGAGATGAGAAGGGAGCCCTGGCCGGTGTGGCTCAGTGGATGGAGCGTCGGCCTGTGGACTGAAGGGTCCCAGGTTCGATTCCAGTCAAGGGCACATGCCCGGGTTGTGGGCCTCATCCCCAGTGTGGGGTGTGCAGGAGGCAGCAGATCCATGATTCTCTCTCATCATGGGTGTTTCTGTCGCTCCCTCTCCCTTCCTCTCTGAAATCAGTACAAATATATTTTTAAAAAAGAGATGACATGGGAAATATGTGGGAAAAGGAAAAATGAGATGAGGAGTTAGGGGATGAATTGGTAACATTTCCACAAGCGATGGGAGAGAGAGACGGGAGGGGAGGAGGAAAGATGGGAGGGGAGAGAGTTTGAAGCATTAATTTAAAATAATTTTTCGCCCGGCTGGCGTGGCTCAGCGGTTGGGCGCCGACCTATGAACCAGGAGGTCACGGTTTGATTCCCGGTCGGGGCACATGCCCGGGTTGTGGGCCTCATCCCCAGTGTGGGGTGTGCAGGAGGCGGCCGATCCGTGATTCTCTCATCATTGATGCTTCTCTCTCTCTCCCTCTCCCTTCCTCTCTGAAATCAATAAAAATATATTTTAAAAACCCCAAAAACATGCATGACAGGAATAGAAGTGCATTCCCAAAGACGGGAGACGTTCTATCGAATCCGAGAAGGTCAACGGACATAAATCTAAACAGTGTCTCTAACAGAATTGCTCTCTGAAATCAATAAAAATATATTTTAAAAACCCCAAAAGCATGCATGACAGGACTGGAAGTGCATTCCCAAGGATGGAAGATGTTCTATCAAACCCGAGAAGGGTCAACGGACATAAATCTAAACAGTGTCTTCTAACGGCATTGCTTTCACAAAACACCAGGATTCTCGAACTCATTCGGGAACAGCAAAGGCACCTGTGGGAGAAACGCCCGCTATCTTGGACTCGAGGAATGACACGGGGAGAGCATAGTCTAATTCAGAGAGATTAATGAGTCTCTTTAGTGAAATTAAATGATAAGAAGCCAGGCAAACGCACTTCATAGGCTTGGGAACAGAATCCAGATGACTCTCACCGACGTACCCATAGGCTTTTGTCATTTCAAACCTTTTGCACGAGGGAAACGCCGCCGAGTGGAAACGAATTCGCATAATTAATTAGCACCGTGGGAGCCGCCCAGCCTGCGTGTCATCCTTTCGCGGGTCCGTGATGAGGGCGGGCCCCGAACCATGTTTTCTGGGGCCCCGTGGGTAACCCTGGAAAAGGGAACCTGTGGGGTCCGAGCAGACCCTTGTGGATGGTCAGGTTGGAAAACATTCCCATTAGAGCAAGTGGTTCTCAACCTGTGGGTCGCGACCCCTTTGGCGGTCGAACGACCCTTTCACAGGGGTCGCCTAAGACCATCCTGCAGATCAGATATTTACATGATGATTCATAGCAGTAGCAACATGACAGTGATGAAGTAGCAACGAAAATAATGTTATGGTTGGGTCCCAACATGAGGAACTGTATTGAAAGGGCCAGAAGGTTGAGAACCGCTGCCTTAGAGGCTAGAACTCGGTCTGAGCTCATTGGCTGACCACGGCCTGGGTGTCACGTCTTCTCTCTCCTTCGTTTTGGGCAGGGATTTGGCAAAATGACCGGCAGATCCGCCCAGGAAACCGGAGGCGTTTGGATCTCCATCTTCGACGGCGTCCCCCCGACGTTGAAGGGAGACGCCTTGTCCCCAGAGAGGAGCGTCCCCATTGGGCCTGAACGTGGATGTGGCTCCGGTAGGTCCTTCCTCTTGGTTCCGTGGAAATTCTTCGTTCTCTCCACCACGGATCATTGTTCCCCTCCCCCTGCCCCCCAGTCTCCCTTCCTTTCCTTTGTCACTGACAGATGTCCTTTATATTTTTTAAATATATTTTTATTGATGTCAGAGAGGAGAGAGAGGGAGAGAGAGAGAAAGAGAGAGAGAGAGAGAGGGAGAGAGAAACATCAATGCTGAGAGAGAATCATGGATCTGCTGCCTCCTGCACACCCCCACACTGGGGATCGAGCCTGCAACCCAGGCAGGTGCCCCTGACCAGGAATCGAACCCCGGACCCCCCCCCAGTCCGCAGGCCGACGCTCTATCCACTGCGCCAAACCAGCCAGGGCTGTGTGGCATGTGTTTTATTCCAGATGATTAGCCGTAGAGGTTCGTTCCTACCAGACGTCAAACGTGCGTGCGTGTGTGCGTGCGTGCGTGTGTGTGCATGTGTGTGTGCATGTGTGTGTGCGTGCGCGTGCACGTGTGTGTGCGTGCGTGTGTGTGCATGCGTGCGTGCGTGTGTGTGTGTGTGCGTGCACGTGCGTGTGTGTGCGTGTGTGTGTGTGTGCGTGTGTGTGTGTCCTGCCGAGTCTTATACACAAACTACGACCCTCTTCTTCAAGAAGAAAAATGAATCCAAAAGAAAACCACCGTGTTCTTCCCGTCGAAGCCACCAATGCCACGAGGCTGCCCAGAGAGGGGCGTTTGAAGCTGAAGTCTCACCCCTTTAGACCCAGATGTGTGTGTGTGTGTGTATCTCAGGCACATGTTTGGGGCAGGACATCAGCACAGAGTCACCCCAAAAAGGGGGGGGGGGGAGCCCGCGGTGCTGATAGAACACACCCTGCTCTTCATGGGGCGGTCGCCACGCCGCTCAGATGGAAACGGAGCCTCGCTCAGCTTCAGACGGGAGCGCAGAGCCACTCCCCTTCGGGGCAGCAGCCCCCCCCTCCCCGCCCCCCGGGCTGGATCAAAGGGGCCATTTCATCTGCCTCGTGGCCGCCGACCCAGACATCTTCACAGGGTTCCTGTCTCCTCGCCGGAGCTCACGTGTCTTCGATGGCATGTAAATTACAGCCTTCCGTGGCCGCCCCGTCAGAACACGTGTCACCCGATGGGGCCCCGTGTTGTAACCTGTTGGGACGTCCAGCTAAAAGCGCCTGCTACCGGGCTGGCCCTGGCGTCTCCCTGTCGCTAGAAAAATGGAGCCGGTGATCTTTTAACCCTGGTTTTCGGGGTAAGCTGATCGAGCTGGTTTCTATTCACTGAATCATTTAAACCAGGCTGGGAATTTGTGTCTTTTCTTCTGCCAGATCCCCTCCATGTGTTTGTTTGTGTGTTGTTCTTGTTGTTGTTAATATATTTTTATTGCTTAAATAAATAATCAAGGGAGAGGGGGAGAGAGAGATAGAAACATCGACGATGAGAGAGAATCATGGATCGGCTGCCTCCTGCACGCCCCCTACTGGGGATGGAGTCCACAACCCGGGCCTGTGCCCTGACCGGGAATCGAACCCTGACCTCCTGGTTCATAGGTGGACGCTCAGCCACTGAGCCACGCCGGCTGGGCTGGAATAGGAATGCCTGAGTGTTGAGGTCTGTGGATGGAGTAAGGGCAGTGAGGTTAAAGACACTAATGAGTGACCATAAAGAATACAGTGGGGCCTTGACTTACGAGTTTAATTCGTTCCGTGACGGAGCTCGTTAAGGAGCTCGTTAACTCAAATTACTCTGTCAACTCAAAGCAAAAAATCTGCCGAGAGACGGCTCGTATCTCGGAAAAACTCGTTAGTCGGGACACTCGTAAGTCAAGGCCCCACTGTATTGGGCTGTATAAGGCTCTTTTTTTTTAAAGACCCGAAGGTTTTCACACTGCGTTCAGAGACGCGGTGTTCGTAGCCGTCCGGGCCGTCCTATAACATGCGTCTCGATAAATCAGTCAGGCGTTCCATACGTTCTGAGATTTATATTTCAAGAATCCGTGTCTCGATGTCTTGGCGTCTACAGATTGGGTTGGGGTAAAAGGCAAGAGGGGAAGCCATCAAGGGCTAAATGGAATAGTTAAATGGCCTGAATGTCCGAATTAGCAATCAGCGCTGGCAAGTCCCGCTCCCCACGTGTTGCTAGTTAAGTCTCCCGTGGACGCACTAGGCCTTGGGCTCTTGTACACGGTTAGGCTAGCAATCCCACTAGGCCAGTGGTCGGCAAACTCATTAGTCAGCAGAGCCAAATATCAATAATACAACGATTGAAATTTCTTTTGAGAGCCAAATTTTTTAAACTTAAACTATATAGGTAGGTACATTGTTATTAACTTAATTAGGGTCCTCCTAAGGCTTAGGGAGAGCCACACTCAAGGGGCCAGAGAGCCGCATGTGGCTCTCGAGCCGCAGTTTGCCGACCACGGTGCTAGGCCTTGAGCTCTTGGACACGGTTAGGCTAGCAATCCCACTCGGGGAGGATCTGCTGAGGAAATAGTTTTCGGTCGGCCGTACATTTCCACAGGGAATATTTCCTTCTGTTTCCAGGTTCTGATCTATTCTTCTTCATCTCAGATATTGGAAAGTAACTGAGCTGCTTTTGGAAAGAAAGGAGGAGGAGG